TAGTTTTAGTTTTTAATTTTTATTTTTTATATATTTAATAATTAGTACTATATTTATATTAAAGTAATTAAATTGTAATTTTTATTAAAAAAACTGATTTATAAATATAGTAGTACTTACCTAATATATAAAAAAATGTGAAATATACAAATTAATTAAAAACCAAAATCATAATAAATAGAGAAAGTAAGACATTTTTTGCATGAATAAAAAATTTTATTGATGAGAGTAGAAGTGTACTCCAAACCCCTATACATCGTTCTTCTATGAAATAAAAAACATAAACTCACAGATAGAAAATGCAAGTTCAAAAGTGGGATTCAATAGAACAAAGATGAGGGAATAAGCACCAATCACTAAAGGAGAACATCAAGCCCTCAGATTTTCCTTTTATCCAACTAGAAGGGCTTGGTTTGTATAAGATCAAACACTATGTTTTCATCCTAGGAAGATCCATTGTAACTGATGCTGTTTTGGGTTGTCCAAAATAGCCCAAACTGCTGTCAGAATTATTAACTAAGGACCAGCACTCCCATGAAAGCTTATCCACCACCTAGCTAGCAACATGAATCCAAAGAGATTAAGCTTTAATTTGCTGCAAGTTGCAAAAACATTATCAGCATCCTCTTTACATAGCACGCACTTGTCATTTTTGGATAAATCCATGCCTCTGGCTAGCAATATCATATTTTCCTTTGTTGGAAGGCCATTGAGAAAGACCCTTCAAGCAAAAACACTGACATTAGTCAGAGAGCAAGTGGTCCATATGGGTAGGAATCATCTACGTAGGAAGCGATAGGCATTTTTTTTTGGCTGAGTAGCCTGATGAACTATGCTGCCACGTGATCTGATCAGGAAAGCCATTTGAGAATTGCAGGTCCTTAAGGAAGGGTGCTGTAGTACTTCCGACGTCCTTCCCCGTTGGTTTTCTCCTCCAAGAATGATTCCAAAGCCCATCACTAGCTTCTGTTGGTTTAATTCTGCAATAGTCACATCTTTGGACAAAGCACGGTTTAAAAAGATATGGGAACTTAAGAGACAACAAGGAACTCCGAAGCCATTCTTTTTTTTTTTTTAGCTTAGCCTTACCCAGTTTAGAGAATGTAACTTTATGAAATCCACCAAAGTAGCTGAAGTGTCATTTCCTTCTTTGAAAATCAGTTGGCTCCTCCTCAACCATATGGACCATATAACTGAAAACCGTATCACACACCACGCTTCCTTCAGGTTTCCATTTTGCACCATTCCTGAGTGTTGCTGCAAATGATTCCAGCCTTCACATGTAAGAATTACCTGCAAGCCCCACCACGTATAAGATGCTTGCCAAACTGCCCAAGTTGCCTCACAGGTGAAGAATAAATGGGTTACTGTTTCTGTTTGCTTTCCACAAAAAATGCATGAAAAATCAGTACGTATCTGTTCCAGCCATCCCTCATTTTAGCAAGTTATCACCAGTAAGAACTCTATTTTGCATAACTTTCCACACAAATGTAGAACCTTTGAGTGGCACCTTATTATTCCATAACATTTTTTTTTTTGAAGGGCAAAGGATTTTTATTTTTTTTTTTTGTTGGTTCCAGGGGTTTTCCAAAACCCACTTTTTTGTTTAGGAACCCGGCACCCTTAAGGCGGGGGGGTTGGACCCCCCAAAAAGAAAATAAAACCAACTTGTTGCTTAAACAGTTCAACATGTTAAGTTCAACATGTTATTATTCCACAACATGTTGAACTGTTTTGAATTTGGCTCCCTAAAGTTTCTGTTTAGTATGATGTCTGCAGATTTTGTGGAGTAACTTCCCTTCTAGTCATGCTTCTATCTCCAAGAACTCCGAAGCCATTGATCCAACCATATAACTTAATCCTAGACCCATCACCAATTTTCCATTTAAAACCCCCAGAGAAGCACTGGTTTGCCCTGTCAATAACATTTCCAATGGATACCATATCTTTCCAATAAGGAGAGACTCCAGAGGGCCTTACAATTGATTTCTCTTTTTACCAAACCGCAAAATTAGATTTCTCTCTCTCTCTTTATTTTTCAAATTTGCTATGTGTCCTGTATTTAAATTTGAATTCTCATTTATAATTTTATAGTACAAATTATAAAAATTAAGACAGTTAGATAGAATTCTTATTTATAATTTTATAATACAAACTGTAAAATTAAGATAATTAAATAAAAAAAACTCATTTCTGTACTCAAAAAACCTACCTTTGTCTAATAATCAATTGATCATTATGGAGCAAGATTGCACAATATTTTTTTTTAAAGAAATTGGCAAGAAATTTCATTGAAATAAAGCATATGTACAGGAACTCCCAAGCCTGCACGGTAGTTTTATTATCTGCTAAACTCTTTTGTAAATTAAATCGTTGTGTTAGGTTATCAAAAAGTTATTGTTTCCTTCTATCAAGAAAATTTTAAGTGTGTCTTGATTTTTTTTTTTTTTCTTCTCTTTGGGGGGAAGGGTGCGCAAATATGATACTTATTATAAGATTAGCTGAGTAGGTTTATTAATTGAAAAATCTTGATTTGGGGGGTCAATATCATGTGTTCAAACTCTTTTTTTTTTTTGGTATATTAGAACTTGATAAAATAGAAATCATTTAAACTTTCAATTTTGGCTCTAAATCAAAAAATTTAAATTAATGAATACTAACTCAATCAAGTTCTTGTTGGTGTGTTCAAACTCTTATTACTGTGCCAATTAATCTATTAACTCCTGAAGTCTTGAAGCTAAAAAATAATAATAATATGGATAGTTCTAATCTGGCCCAAATTAAAGAATATTTCAAGCTACTGCAATCCACCCATTTCGGAGTAGATATATAAATATATATATTTTTTACCACGTCGGAGGAGATAACTAATTAAGAGGAAAAAAAAAAAAAGATAAAAAAGCAAAGGGCATCGGATATGTGATGGTCAATCAAATTTAAGAGATTTTTAGCTAGGCAAAACCCTCCGATAAATTTTTGAATTTATCCTAAATTTTTAATTAAACTCTTAAATTTTAATTAAAGTAAATAAACTCTTAAACTTATTAATATATGCAATTTAACCCATTTTATTTACAACAAACTAAATATCTATTTGTATATCTCTTGCGTAGATAAAATATTGATATATTATTGCTTAGATGGTGAGTATTGACCTTATTCAAGCAAGTAAAGTATAAATTGATGTTAAGTCTATTATAAAAAAGTGAGTTAAATTGCTTAAATTGATAAATTCAAGAATTTATTTACTTCAATGAAAGTGTAGGGACTTAATCAAAATTTTATAATAACTTCAAGGACTTAATAAATAGGATTTCACCTTCTACCAGTTGTTGCAAGTAGGGGGCCATTTGCAGAGGTCCTTAGCATCAAATTTGAATGCACTTAACTACT